ATGTAGAAAAATGCATACGATGGTGGATATCAATAAGGACATATGACAACTAACTTGACTGAGGCTACCAATTCAACTTTAAAGGGGGCGCGTCATTTACTTGTAACTACTTTGGTTAAAAAGATGTATTTTCATTTGGGTAAACTTTTTGTCAAGCTCAAGGAACAAGCTATTACTTGGATGCAAAACAATCATTTTTATCACCTAAATTAGTAGCAAATTTATAGAAAAAGGTTGCAACATCAAATGGAATGTTTTGGTAACAATTTTTTCTCGCACCCATGCATTATTTCATGTAATAGAAATGTTAAAACCTCTTTAAGGGATTGAACCTAACTTTTTCAGAGTTAATCTACAAGAAAGGTGGTGTGATTGTGGGTTTTTTCAAGCTCTAAAGTATACATATTGCCATGTCATAGCAGCTTGCTCACAAGTATCTAAGGTATATAAATTTGAGTTTCCCAATAGGTAATGAAAAGACCCAACGACATTCAAACTTAGCTACAATTATACCAGATTCATTGTTATTAAGGGATTCAGGTCGTCAAAAATCCACTCGAATTTATTTTGATATGGATATTCGAAAGACGTCAAAAGAAAACAAAAGATGTGGACATTGTAGATACCTAGGCCACAATAGGAAAAAATATACATTTCTTTTATCATCACTTAACTGTTAACCATTACTTATGTAATTTTATTTTATAATATTTCAATTTATGTGATTTTATTTTCTTTTCTTTTACAAGATGTGGTTTTCTTTTAATTTTTGTAATTTAATGTTTATGATTCATTATTTTCGATTTAGGATTTATTTCTTACGGTCAAGATTTTGATTTTAATCTAACTCTAAATCATTTAAACGAAAAAACCTAAACTAATTTACTCTAAAGAAACCCTAAACCATTTTAATATTAAAAACTCTACTCTAAACCACCTTAACCCAAAAAATCTTAAACCCTAAACTAATATTAAAAGGCATGTCCTCTTCAACAAACCTTCCACCGTAGTATCAAATCAACATAAACTAATATTAAAAGGTGCATTCCCTACAACGAGTCTTCCACCGTCGCGTCATATATATATATATATATATATATATATATAATTTTTTTAAAAGGGTTATCTTTTAAAGGAAAATAATTAAATGCATAATAACATATTATGAAAATCAAATTAATTGAAAAAAATAATAAAATAGCTCAAATAGACATTAAGCTTATAAAATATTATGATATGATAAAATTATCACCGTTAAATAGTAAATATTTGATTGAAAAGTAAGGATATTGTAGTTGAATTTAACACTAAAAATAAATTATAAAGGAGGAGAAAAGGTATGCTTACGTTAGGGATTACGTAGGAGACATAGGATTCGTGTATCTGATTGACTGTAATTAATATTATTAAACTTCTTCTTGCCTGTCTTTCCTCCTTCTAGAATTATCAACTCCACAAAATTCTTTTTCCTAATTGAGGATGGGTTAATCATATTTTTATTAAATTATTATTTTTGAAAAATTAAAATTTAGATTGATTTGATTTTAAGTTTAATGTAAGATATTTCATTCAACTTAAAAATGGTACATTTAAAAGATAATCGAATTAATATTCATCTATATTTTTATTTTGTTAGATTTATAATTTATCTAATAGAAATAAAATTATATATTTTTACATAGTGAGTTTCATATTAAATAATTTTTTTAGATTCATATTGAACGGAATGATAGATAAATGAATGTAATATTCGAGTGGATCAAATATTTGACTCGAATCAACTCATAATTATCTCAATTTAATGGAAATATATGGTGTAATTTAATGTAACCAAATTATTTATTTTAATAGCTTTTAATGCTATCTATGAATCCGATTCATGGACATATGAGAATGAATTTTAATTGATATTTCTACGTATTACTACTACAGACTATACGTATCTTAAATTTATCGTAGTTTACCTCGTCTCACTGTGACGAGCCCTTGATACATGAATAGGATCAACATTCAGCCTTGAGCGATGAAGCCAATAGCAAAAAATAACAGGTGTTCCCAATCAGAAAACAATGTCAGCCCCAATATTTGTCTTCTCACTCCTAATCTTTGCATCACAACCATGTCAGCGTATCCTCGCTGCTGCCTCCGCCGCCGGAGGTCAATGGCAACTTCTACAGAAAAGCATTGGCATCTCAGCCATGCACATGCAGCTCCTCAGGAACGACCGTGTAGTTTTGTTTGATAGAACTGATTTTGGACTATCAAAACTAGATGTTGCCGCGATTCCCAATTGTGATAAAATAGCCTGTAACTGCCGAGTCACTTCCTGAAGAGTGGATTGTGTGGTTGCATTCCACTTTTCCTGACTAGTCACATGATTTTGCAACGAAGTGAGGATCTGCTCATGGCGATTTGCTGTATCCTGAAGTGCTTTAATGGATTCTGTATCGGTTACCATCCTGGTAAAATCAACGAAAGCACCAAAATGTTATGATCGAAGAAAAGAACAGAGAAAGGAAAGAGTTGAAGAGAATATATTAGGGAAAGAAGAACAATTTCAGTGAGTTTTTTTCATGCCCTCGCTGTACAATCTCTCCTTATTTATCAAAAGGAAATCTAATAACAGAATGCTAAGAAAGGACAAAGTCCGTTAGTGCACGTAGGGTCTTCCTCTCTCGGGTACTCGTGCGAAATCCTGAACCTTCTCTACGTTTGGGCTGGAGCTACTGGCTTGAATATCCCCTGCTGCTAGGCTATAGCTGGTTTCCAGTTTGATATCTTCCAGATTGTTCTCGACATTACCTCCCCCTTCAGAACGAACCTGGTCCTCAAGGTTCGACATAGTCGTAAACTCATCGATGGGATCAGATTTTCGGAACAATTGGTTATGCCCACGAACGCCCTGCTGATAAGTTTTATAATAAGATCTTGTTATAATTAATCACGAAATATTAGTGGATAATAAAATGATGTAATTTTATAATCTAGTTAACTCAAAAGGTGGCGGAGTTAGAGGGGGAAAGATAGAGAAAACTCGTAGATTTTGCCTCATTTTCTTTGACGGACGACAAAATCCAGGTTTTATCTTCCATTAAAGTCTAAACAGATAGCTTTGTTCTTGAGTATTAAGATTAAGAAAAACTGCCTGCAATTTCCTTCCACTTCACAAGTCTTTTGTTTACACTTTTTGAACACTGTAATCAGTAATGCAATGTAATCGCAACCACATTTGGTTAAAAACAATGGGTAATCATTTTGATCCACTTTGCGTATTTGGGTCTCGTCTCTCATTTTGGTTCATTGTATTTGTAATGTTTCTTTCCTATTTCCATATTTAGATTCTGGGTTATCTTTGGGGTCTTTTTGTGTGTAGCAGTCGAAAGAATTATGAAATGAGATGGAGGGAATCGGTGACACTAGAGCTGATATGCAGAAGCTTCAATCACCACCGTCAAATCCATTGTTTAAGCCTCGAAACAACTCAGATATACCCATCTGATCAGTGCATCTCAAATGGCTCCTCCTTCTTCTTCTTCTTCTTCTTCATATATGCTTTGTAGTTATGACAATAGTAACAAAAGATATGGGATACCTCCATCACACCCCAACAACCCTACTGCATCATTGTCTTGTCCAACACAGATCATTGGTTATAGTCCCAGTTCTCAACAAGGCTCACCGTTTCATTCTAGGTCTTTATCTTAACCCACCTTCTTTTCCCTTACTACCTCTCCCCCTTATCTTTGTCCCTCAATTTCTTCCCTCTCTGATCCTGTTTATAACGGTGTTTCTATGGAGAAAAGGGTCGTTAATTCTAATATTAGGCCTTCACTTCCTTCACCTGTTGATAGAGGAAGTAAAGAGTTTTGTGTCGGCGTCTGTTCAAGTTTGCCGCCCCGTAGAGGCCATAGGCGGTCCAGCAGTGATTTTCCATTAGGATTCTCTGCTATGATTCAGTCTTCGCCTCAATCTAATTCAATAATGAGCCCTGGTGTAGATGAACCAGTTCAGTTGGTGAAACGAGAATTGGCGGATGACATGTTTAATGCTTACATGAATTCTGAAAATCTTGACACATTGAACTCTTCAGGCACTGAGTACAAGGATTTGGATAGCAGAAGTAGTGGCACAGAGACATATGGAGGTGAAAGTAGTGACAATGAAGTAATACTTGATTATACTCGCAACATAAAAGATTTTGTTCTTTTAAAAGGAAATCTAAAGGGAAAAAAAACTTATTTATTTGAACATATTTTGTTAATTATTAAATAACGGCGAATGGTATTTTGTTCAATTTATAATTAAAATAAAAAACAACTATGTCTTCAAAGTTTTATATACTCGATTTTTAACATATTTTAATTTTTTTTCATAAGCATAATGAATTATATATGTAACAATTAACATATTCATAATTGTATTATTTGAAAAAAAATGTTCATATTTATATTATTTTTTTATTTTAATTTTCTCTTAATATTTTTATGTCGTCTTCTTCTTTTTTTTCGATTTTTTGTTTAGTTAACGATGATATCAATCTTAATATTAATTATCGACCATCGGGGATTATTAGTTTTCTTGTTTTCTATATTATATTTTTTATTTTCTTTTTTTCTTGAGTCTTTTTAATTTTGAATTAGGATTTTTGTCACTGTAACACGTTTTTCTTTACTATTGTGGCATGATACTTATAGTTTTTGGTACGTTATTCGCATACCTTTGCGATGGTTACTATTTTTTAGCAAAGGAACATATATAATCTTAACTATATATTTATTTATCAAATTATTACTATAATTTTAATTAATATTAAATCTTTGATTCGCGATAATTTGTCAATAAATACAAATTAGAGAAATCTAACAAATAGAATCGCAAATAAAAAGAAATGTTGAATTTAAAAAGGGAATTATTTGGAATTTGGAAAGACCAAATAGATTCCTCTTGCTCTCTCTCCACAGTTAATAATAAAAAAGAGTAAAGGTAATCAATCCTCTTCTCACTTCTTTTGAAAATATTTGCCCCATTTTTTGAATTAGGGTTTCGGTTCTTCTTCCCTGCTTTAAACCCTACTATCGCCGATCCCCTTCTTACTAGCCGTTGTTCTGTCTTTCCCGCCATATTTATCCTTCATCTGGGCCCCTCACCTTCTCCATTTCAAATACGAGCCGTTTGATCGGCTTTCCTTCGCTCTTTTCCTTTTCGCGTGTGTATGTGTGTCTAAGTTTTGAACTTTGTTTAGCCTGGAAATGTCGTCGAACGAAGCAGAGAATAAGGTGGAGGATGAAGGGGGAGAGAAGAGAGGAGGAGAGCTCTTGTTTTGTGGCTCCACGAGTTGGGACATCGTTGGCCGCCGTAAAGGTCCAGTGGAAGGTAACTTGGTCTCTCCCACTCGACTCCGCCCTCTCATTGGCATCAATATCCGGTTCGTTGCCTCTGGTTGCGGTGAGTTTTTGTTTCACACCTACCGATATACATTTCAAATATATATATTTACTTCAAAAAATATTTTATTTTCGTTGCAGTGTCATGTCATTGCGTTGCATTGGATGTTGAGGGGCGATGCTACACATGGGGTCGTAATGAGGCATGAAAAAGCTCAGCGTTTTTTAATGTTGTTAAATGCATATTGTTAATGTTATTCTGATGTTGTTAATAGTGGCTGATAGACGTTTACTTTTGTGTATAGAAAGGGCAACTGGGTCATGGAGATAGAATCCAGCGTGATAGGCCAACTGTTGTTTCGGAACTCTTAAAGTATGTTCTTTTGGTCTGTTATTAAACTTACTCATGTCTGTTATTAAACCTCGGTTGCATCTATGTTGAAGGTATAAAATAATCAAAGCGGGAGGGGGGAGGAGTCACACGGTGGTAGTTACTGAAGATGGTAATTCCCTGGCATTTGGCTGGAATAAGCATGGGCAGCTCGGTTCAGGTTCCATAAAAAATGGTAGGTTCTGTTGATTTGGATTAGTACTAGTACCATGTTACTCTAGGTGTTTTGTTTTCTTAGTTGTTAAATTCTTCTACGGATGATGACATTTTTTTTAACTTTTTGGTTCAAATGTTTATCAATGTATCATTTTTGTAGAAGTTGAGTCATCTCCCGTACGTTGTCTTGTGTCTCAAGTTACAAATGTTGCCTGCGGAGCTGAATTCAGTGCGTGGTTATCATCCGCTGAAGGAGCTTCTATACTGTATGGTTTGCGGTTCTTTTAGTTTTGTGTCTTGACTTACTTTCATAGTCTATAATTCCTTTTTTATTTTTCACTTTTTCACTGTTTCTAAACTTGTTTTTTGGTTTGTAGAACTGCAGGTCTTCCCCAATATGGCCAGCTTGGTCATGGGACAGACAATGAGGTATGTGGAGAAGATGAGTTTGCTTTGACGAGACTTGTTCCTATTTTTTGCGGCAGACTATTACTTACAAAGTTATGCTTCATGTATATAATATATATAAGACTAGTTTCTAGCTGTGGTAAATATATCATTAGATTGACTTGCAGCCCTTGCTTTTTATTGGATGTTTGCATTATATACGTATATGCTTGCAGTATAATGCTAAGGATAGCTCAGTGAGGCTTGTTTATGAAGCCCAACCACGCCCTAGAGCTATAGCCACTCTTTCTGGAGAAACTATTGTCAAAGCTGCGTGTGGGGCAAACCATACAGGTTCATGTTATGCCTGTTCTCTTTCATGTTTTGGTCATCATCCCTCTCCTGCCCCAAAAACTGCTACAACATTCACCTCATTGTTTATATTTCTACTTTTTTTTCTTCCACCACTACTACAACATTCATATCATTGTTTGTATTTATACTTTTTGTGCATTCAGTTGCTGTGGATACAAATGGCTATGTTTACACGTAAGTTCACCGCTGATTATTGTGGAAATGTTTTAGATTTCTCTTTTATTTTCCTTGTTCTTAAACAATTGACTTCCGTTACATGAATGTCTAGGTGGGGCTTTGGTGGTTATGGAAGGTTAGTGCATACACACCACTGTTTACTTCTGCATCATCGCAGTATTTAATGTGTTTTCACAGTGCTTAAATCCTTTATTTACTGCATGTAATTCCTTAATCGCATGTGCAGGCTTGGGCACAGAGAGCAGAAGGATGAGTGGGTTCCTCGTCGTGTTGAAGTATTCCAGAGGCACAATGTTCTTCCTCCCAATGCAATTGTTTCAGCTGGTTCTGTAAATTCAGCGTGTACTGCAGGTATTGTTTGTTCCGTACGTTGTTAGGGAGGGAGGTAGTCTGGTTGCTAAAACTCTCTTAATAAAAATTGAGGGTTATAGGGAGAAGTGATGCCATGATAGGCCTTCTGTTTATAGATTTCAAGGTGATTATGTCAGTTTGATTATTTCTTTTTCTTGTTTTCTAGGTGGTGGGCAATTGTATATGTGGGGCAAAATAAAGAATACTGGTGATGACTGGATGTATCCCAAACCTCTCATGGATTTAAGGTTTTTCTTTGCACCATGGCTATTTTATTCTTAATGTTAGTTTCTCTTCTTGCATGACCATGATTGTCTTAATTTTTTGGTCTTGGTGTATCACCACAGTTCTTGGTTACTGTTTTCTTCCCTCCCTCCCTTACAATCATTTGTTCCACCTTATTTTGTGTATATATATGATTATCAAGTTTTGCGAGGAACTTTCTTGTTATCTACTATTTATCGTAGCTTTACTTAGATTCTGTTATTTTATTGCATTCTATTTTATGCTATTCAAGTGTGCTAAAGTGACTTATATGTTTCCTCCTAAAGAATGAAAGAAATCATTGATTTCATAGTATTGACATCTTTTCAACTGTTCTATTATTATTTTTCCCGTTCATTTTGATTCTTTGCTTTATGTGAAGTCCTTGGAGGGTTGAAGTCAATTAAACTTTACCCTGCTAGTTTTAGTCTGTAAATATATATCTAAGGTGCATTTGTTTATCCCTTTTCTTCCCAGTGGCTGGAATTTGCGTTGCATGGATTCTGGCAATATGCACCATTTTGTTGGTGCAGACTCTTCCTGCATAAGTTGGGGCCATGCTCAGTATGGAGAGTTGGGATATGGTCCTGCCGGACAAAAGTATGCATTATTACCTTTGCTTGCAGCTTTTTGTCTGTAGTCTCTATCCTTATATTCTATTTACTTGATATTGTGTCTTCTTTCTAGGTCTTCAGCTGTTCCGAAAAAGGTAGACATTCTGGAGGGCATGCATGTTATCAGGTGAATAAATTAACAATAACTTCATGTAAATATAATACTATATGATCTGGTTTTCTCTCGACGGGATGGTACTGATGAATTCTTTTTTATATCTGTGTAGTGTTGCCTGTGGTATGGGCCATTCAATGGCCGTTGTTGATAGAACAAATGTTGGTGACAGGCTTGACCAGGTACATTTGTAATTCCCCCACCCCCTTTTAATATTTAGAGAGTTTAGTGCCTAGATAACATTGTGGTTGTACCTTCCAAAACGTTTTGGTTTTTTTTCCTAGTCCCAAGACACACACGCTAAAAATTCTTATTGACTTTATTAATACTTCCAAAGTTTTAAGGGTTTAGTTTAAATATTTATGCCTAAGGACTTTTTGACATACATTGCTACATGCAACTAGTGTCATTAATCCCATCAGAATGTTAGTGCAACTTCTTATTTTTCTGTATCTGCTGGACATAAACTTTTGAGGATACCCAGTTATTGGTCATTGGCGATTAGCTCATTTTGGGGATGTCGTTTTGGTGTCTTGTACTGGCCGATGACTTTTTGTTAATGTTGAAATATTGAAATACAAAGCTTTGTGTAAATGTTCTCTGTTTTCTACAGCTGGACATTCATGATGGCAAAGATTCCGGCGAAGGTATGTGTCTGTTTCGGTGTCCTCAGTTTCCAGTTAGTTGAGACTTTATGAAGGATTTTCCGTAATAACATTGCAAACTAGATTGTTGCCATAGATTGTCAAGTTGACAACTATTAAATATTGAAGTTACGAGAGTTTGAGATGCACACTAATTTATAAATCTATCCTGACTGCAGCAATGGAGGTACCAGATACCGAAACTTCAGCTCCTAAGCAAAACAAAAAGGGTGCTAATAAAACTCCAACTTCCTCAAAGAAGAGGAAGAAGGCGAAGGATGCATCTGACACAGAGGAAGAAGAGGATAGTGATATCGAGAGTGACGGCAGTGAAGGACACATCAATGGTGAGGTTTCTGGCAAAGGCCGAGGTAAGGGTACGAAGAAGTCCACATCAGGTGGAAAAGGTAAAGGGCGTGGACGCCCTGCTTCAAACAAAAGTTCGCAATCCTCTCAAGGAAAAAATGGTAAGAGGGGACGGTCGCAGAAGGCCTAAAAGTGTTGTTATATTCCAGTCCCACTGGAAATTTTGTTCTCTCATTGTGGAGAAGTGTACTTTTTCTGAACTAGAATTGTTTTTCTTTATATTCTGATCACCTGGTGAACGATGCGCCGGAGTTGACATTTATGAGTTGTTTTGTTTGAGATGATTGGTCAATGAGCAGTGAGAATTTAGCTTTTTAATTGCCTGATTTCTTTTATATAATTGATATAAACGCGCAATCCTTGCATAAAAGTTGTCAATGGCAAAATCCACACGGGTGTATGGTGTTTGATTACACTATGTGGATAGTTTTTGATTATCGATAATATTGGATTGGTACCCATTTTAGGAAACCTGCTTGAAACACGTGACAGTGGTCTCTCTGCAACTCAGATCAGTGGAGAATGGTGGTGGATTCAGATTTTGTTGGTTGAACCAAGCACCATTATGATTGACGGCATACGGATAAGAAATATACACAAATCCTGGTTTTGGTTATGCAGTTGAAAATAGAAAATATTATGTTCATTCCAGCTCCAATCTTAATCGTTTACCCCCATTATCATCATTGTCAAGTATGGTGTTTCTTTCACCAAACAACCTATACATTATATATACATACACGTATCTATGTTAAATGCTCAATTTTTCCTACTTGTATCAGCGTGGCGCGTGAGAGTGAGAGAGTGAGAGTGAGAGTGAGAGATTTGTTTTGTAAGATGGAAATCATTCTTTAGTTTGATGCAAACCTGACAGCTTTTACTGTGTCTCCACGATGGGAATGGATTTGGAAGATCATTTTATAGATGCGAGGTTGATATGATATAGATTCATGTTCAACCGATAACTGCCTCCACTTTCTGCATCAATTCAGCCCCAATAATTTTAAGGGTAAATTACGTATTTAGTATATAAATTATTAATTTTAATTCGTTTTAATATTTAAACTCAATAGACTCGTGTCTATAGTCGCTGGTTGTCCTATCTCTCGACCGACGAAACTCAAACTTTTCAACTCGTCATTTAAAGGAAAATACTACCATAAATGTCGCACAACGAAAACACATCGATAAAATGATACAATGAAACATAACATTAATTAAATTAAAATAGGATAACATTAGAAATATTCATCAAACTATGACAAAATAATTTTTGTCTTTCAACTTTTTAAAAGTTAATCATAAAATAAACATTTAACTTTAAATTTTATAAAAATGCATCCACCGATCATTAGCTATCATCAAGAGATGATATGACATTTTAAATTGATAAAAAAATATCTTCTTTGGTCCCTCAATTATAACTATTTTTTAATATTTTTTTATTTTTTAAAAATCTATTTTAAAAAAATATATTTAATTTCAAATTTTATTTTTGAAACTATAAATACAAGTTTAAATTATATTTAAATTTATAGAAAAAATTAAATAATTGAATCACGTTGCTTAAAAAATTGATTTCGTTTTCAGATAATTGAAATTGTTGGATCTTAAAAATTATAAATTGTAACTTTTATAAATTTAATTATAACTAAATAAAAAGTTATTTATAAAATAATTTGATGAATTAAAAATTTCATAAAGTTATAATTTATAATTTTAAAAATAAATTGTGAATTTTTATACATTATAAAAATATTTTTTAGAATTATTACTTAAAAATATTAAAAATTTATCAAAAATTAAACTTTATTTATAATTGAGGGGTAAATGAGATTATTTTATTAATTTTATATATTACTTTACCCCTTTAATGACACCTAAGATTGTTGTATCTACTTTATAAAAATAAAATTTAATATCAATTATATAACTTTAAAAGTTTTAATATCTAAAATATTATTTTAATATATTTTAGTGACTATTTAAAATTTTTATCAAATAAAATTAGTGAATTAATCATGCAGCGATCCTTGAATAATTTAATGTTTAATTAATAAGCGCAATTTAGTTAGTGATACATTTTGGTCGGTTGTATTAGTGGAGTATATAGATTGATAAATTAAAAATTAAGTGTGAAAAAATCCATTTTTTTGAATTTAAATTACTAATATTTTTATTTATAACTAAATAATAGTTAAAATGTAAATGTTAAATAATTATATAATTAAAATAAATAAAAATAAAATAAATTGTTAAAAACGTTAATCATTGAGTGATAAGTAGATCAATATATATAATTAACATTTTGGTATAGCCATATATTTCAATTATTAATTTATTTGTTTATACGCTGTATTCTATATTGATTGAACATAATCCTAATCATACGAATATATCAATTGATTATATTTATATTTTTAAAAAAGAAAAAAGAAATTATGTATATACATTCAGGGTTGTAAATAGACAGTTCATGTTATTGGGTTGACTAAAAAAATACATGTACGAGTTGAGAGAAGTATCTGAATTTTATTGAATATAGATGGGCAGTGTAATAAGCAATTTTTGTCCATGCTGCACTACCCCACGCTAGCTTCACCCACGCTGTATACACTCATCTCGTGACCATACTTGTCGGCCACCAACACAACACACTAACGCTTCACCTATGTTCAGCTCCACCATGATGTGTCGCTGTCCATACCGCTTTACCCATATTGCTCCATTATTGTTTGTTTTTTTCTTCCTCTGTAAGGGTATAAAACCCAGGCACTAAAACAATGAGAAACATAAACGAAGGGAAACAATTGTAAGAGGGCTCTCGTTTTTTTTTTATCAGAAACTAATTTATGAGAATGTAACAAAAAAATATTCTAGCTTTTAATTTCGTTCTTTATTTTCATGTAATATTTATTGTTTCTAAAACAAAAAATAAAAAAAAGAGAGAGATCGAAACTTAACTTATTGTTGGTGAGTTCGTCGGGGAATAGAGGTCGGTCGAGGTATGCGTTGGCTACCAAACCGATGGTCGACGTTCACAGCCTTAGAGCTTTGGGAGCATGCCGCCGCTTGTAGGAAAGGAAAATGTGTTTTGCTTCAGGTACATGGGTTTTGGAACTCAAAAAAATATCAATGACGACTCCCAAAACATTTTTTAAATCAAAATTATATACCTATTCATTTTATTTTTTCTGGTAAGTAAAAATTTCGTGCCCGAAAACCGATTACCACAAGCCTTGCTGGGAGTTAAGAGAGTATTAGTAATCCAAGTATATTTTTTTACTGGACAACACTTTTATGCTGTTTCTTTCTTTCCATTTCCATCAGGCATATGAGAACAAAGAAGAACTGAAAGCAAAACTTGAAGAGTTGATCCGTGACAAATCTGATGTTTTTAACTCCCAAAATCACGAAGAATGTAAGGTTTGAATATATTCTTAAGCAATTTATGATTTTGTTTTTCTACTAATATTTTGGGTGTAGGCAGTCGTCAGATCAGGAACTCTGGTTTGATATATATATTTAATTTTCAAAATGCTCACTGTCCCACTCCTCTTATCTCAACCAACTGAAAGAACTCTTCTGTTTCTCTCTTTTCTCATAATTTCATTGCCATTTTAGTCCACGACTTAGGTATTTTAACTGTCATATGGCAGTTTGCTCTTGTCAGATTAAACTGGGAGAGGGTGGAAAGAAAGGTATTATAAAGAAATTTTCAGCAGAAACTCCAGAAGAAATACGGAAAGTGTTGTGAGTTAATGAATCTCTATGAAGATGTTGGCAATTATAAATTTTAAATTATCCATTTAAAACGGACCTTCATTTACGTAGATTTTGAAATTCACAGAAGGTTTAGGTTGGGTCGTGTATTATTACTATGAAGGTGTTTGTTCATGGCCGTGGTGAGTTTCTCTTACTTTTTCTATAATTTGTTCATGGAGGTTATGTATATTCTTATTTGTGCTTAGAATCAGTCATCACATTCCCTTTTGGATCTATGTGAGTTGTCTTTTAAGCCTTATTTTGGTGAGAATGGTCTGTTGATCAGGAGCTCATCTTTCTGCTTTAATAGACATTCTTTGCGTCGTCATTGTGCTGCCACTGAATTTTGTGTTTCAGGTTTTATCCTTATCATTATGCTCCCTTTGCATCTGATTTTAAGGATCTTGTCCAGCTAGATATTCATTTTGAGCTAGGTTCCCCTTTCAAGCCATTCAATCAGTTATCGGGTGTTTTTCCTGCTGCTAGGTACTGTCACTTGTTTCCACTATGTTCTCCTTGTAAGTTTTTGAGTCAGAATGATAATATGACTTATTTCTTTTGCAGTTCACTTCCCATATAATATAGGAAGTTGATGACTGATCCGAATTCACCCATTATTGATTTTTATCCGACTGGTATGCAATTTACTAAACAAGCATGCTTCATATTTTTTTCTTCATTTCTTCCTTGAGATCTGAAATTTGAACTTGCTCTTTCTTATCAGATTTTGAAGTTGACATGAATGGAAAGCGGTATTCATGGCAGGTAGGTTCCTCTTTCACTCTCGGTTTAGTTTCATATGCCAAGTGGTTTATAGATGGTCTTCTTTATTCAACTGGAAAGTCAATAATCTATCTGTTGCCGCTTTCTGAAGGGTATTGCAAAACTACCTATCATTGATGAAGAGCGCCTTCTTGCTGAGGTTGCAAAAGTAGAACATACTTTGATGGTATGGCTCTTTATTGACGTCATAATTTCATGTGCTCCTTACACTTTTGCCTTTCATTATGAATCATCATGATCTTGCTGGATTTTGTTTAGCTGTCTTTTAAATGCTACAATATCATGCAGGGGGAAGAAGCACAGAGAAACAGTACAATGTGTGACATGCTTTTTGTGGCAGCTTCACACCATCTCTCAGAGCAAATCTTTTCTCTTGACAATCGTTGTAAACAATTGCCAGAAAGGCAACGGATTGAAGTCAAGGAGGAAGGATTTGAGGTCGGATATAATCTAGAATTCAAGCTGTCTTGACTGCTTTCCATGCTAGTTGCCTTTAAGACATGTCCCACTTTTTCCCTGATTTATTTAGGTCTGCATGCAGTGACGGGATGAATGGTTACATATCCCCTTGTGCTGGAGAAACACAGCCTCCTATTTTCAGGTCTCCAATCAAGGACATGGAAGATATTTTGGCCAATGAAGTCATGTAAGTTTTAATTATTGATGCTCCTTATTTATCGATGATATGCATGGAGCAGGTTATTAAATGAAGATACATCAATTTTCTTTTGGACGCCGTTTTTACTGATGTTGTATATAGATACTTCCAAAAGCTCATAAGCCATCCTCCACCAGGAGTTGCTTTCCCTCCTAAGGTATGTAGAAGCTGTAGTTCTCTGCTTAATGATAGCCACACTTTGTTTGTTTTTTTCTTTTAAAGTAGTGCTGTATAACCTATAAGATTTTGCCTGTTAAATTAATAGTAAGTTTTAATTTTTTGAAAATTTCCTATTCCACGAGGGGAAAATTTATTTAAGATTTAATTTTTTGAAGAAAAAAATAATTTTAACATTTTCGACATCAAGTGATAAATAACTATCTACTTATCATTTTCAATACTTCAATCTTAATATACTTTTTTTTTTGGAAAATTCCTTAATCCACAAGGGAATAATTTATTTCAGATTTAAGTTTTTGAAGAATAAAATAAGTTTAATATTTTCAACATTAAGTGATAAGTAACTATATACTTATCATTTTCAAACAAGTAAAAAATTAAAACTCGTTATCAAACACATTAAAAGTTAAGTGTTGAAAAAATTATTTTTCAATGAAATGAAAATTTAAAATTGTCTAACCAAATATTGTAGCTGTATTAATTTTCTGAATTTGTAAATATGAGATATGACCAATAGAAACAGCCGCACCAGCTTAAACATATTCCTCAAAGTTTCTTGCTTACCAAACTCAAGGACTCCTAGATAGCATCACTGGGGCCATTCTGGAAAAATTCTCACTTGTTTAGCACTAGACAAACTTACCTAATCAATGAATGATCATAGCTTTTTTAACAAGGCCGCCAAAGAACATAATACTAGCATTTTGGCATGTCCTTAGGTGGAGAGATTTCGAGATCAACACAGTAAAAGTGAATAATTTCAGTGACCCTACTAATGTTCAAGTCTTGGTTAAAAACCGTTTTAAGGGCTATTCTCTTTTAATGGGACATGAGGTTATTGCTCATCGTTCACCTGCTCAATCCTTGGTGCGTCTTAATCTTTCCAAGTACATTCATGCATGGATTAATTGCTTATGCTTCAGTTCATTCATGGTAAACGCAGCAACACACACGCATATATATATACATACATAAACGACAAGTGATGTGAGGCACAATACAAAAATGATTTGGGCACATGGTGTTTGCCGATGCACCTTGAGACTTCCAAAAACCTCCAACATTTTGAAATCTTCACATGATCTGAAAAGTGGCAAATCAAAACCCTGAGAGTGAGACTAAATTTACAATGTTGGTTCAGGGTGAAACCCTTCAAGCCACAGTACTTTCCTTCTGATCTGCAAATGAAGCTCCTATTCGTTTCCGCAAGTTTATTATGCGGCTCTTGTTTTCTTCCCTTCCTTCCGGTGGATCTTCTGGCAAGTCATTAAGTGTGGCTTCCAAGCAAAACAGCAGCGACAGGTTTGATCCACCCAAGATTTCATGCAGCTCTTATTACTCTTCCCACTCCCATTACACCGAGGCCATTGCTGACTGCATCGAGTTCTTCAACAAGTCATCACAAGAGGGGATTTTGGAGGGTCGAAAATATGATATTTGGGTTTAATAATATTTCATCATCATATTTATATGATATGTCGTTGTGTGCTGCTGTTGGTTTTTTGTTTGAGTCGAAAATCTGATGTTCGGGTCATATTGTTGGTTTTTTGGCAAAATCCCATATTGGTTGTGTATAAGGAGGAGAGAAAATTCTTTTGTTATAAATAGAACCCTCATCCTCCTTAGTTTAGCATCCCACAAATACAAGCCTTCTTCACTAGTAAAGGTTATTTGTACTCTCTCTCTTTGTAATATTTTCTCTATTAGTGAAATATTATTTTAGTAGTGTTCGATGAGGTAGGCATAATTTTGGTCTAACCTCGTTAAATTTTGGTGTTCTCTTTATGTCTATTTAATAGCTATTATCGGGTATAATTGTTGTTAATTATTGTCCTATTAAAATTATTTGTCTTGGTAGTTCTGTCTAAGGAAAGTGGATTTTAAGAGGGACCATTGTGACCCCTCCTCTTTCCTGGGAATCTACCTTGGGGTGATTTTTAGTACAATCGCTTTCACACTAGTCACCTAGATAATGGTTTTCAAGGTGAATTTGTTATTATTGGTGGAAATTAACCTGAATTCAACAACAATTGGTATCAGAGCTCTTGGTTTATTTTAGTATGCTCTGTGGTTGCAGCTTAGGTTGATCTTCCACATCAGAAAAAATTTTCTTGGGGTAATTGACATTCCGCATTGACAGTTATTAAATAAAATTTGTAGCAGAAATAACAAACGACACAAAAACATCCGCAAGAAATGTTGTGACAAATGTTAGATTTGATGACATTGGTCATTTCGGCATGTGGTAAAGTGGGGTTCTAGATGCCCTATTTCAGTAGGGTCTAGACATTGCTATTGAAGGAGAGAAACCAGATGATGTTGAGGAGAAAGAATGGAAGAGGATCAATTGATTGACATGTGGTACTATTCGATCGTGTCTTTCTAGAGAGTATAAATATGCATTTTCTAAAGAAACTTCTGCAAGTAAATTGTGAAAAGCAATGGAGGAGAAATTTTTGAAGAAAAGCGGTCAGAACAAGCTCTGCATGAAAAAGATATTGTTCCGCTTCAACTATGTACCAGATACCACTATGAATGATCACATTACTAGCTTTAATCAGTTGGTGACTGATCTGATGAATATGGACATGACTTTTGAAGACGCATATCTGGCTTTGATGATGATAGGATCACTTCCTGATGAGTTTGAGTATCTTGAAACAACTTTACTTTATGGGAAGGTTGATGTGTCTCTCAGTGAAGTAACTGATGCCTTGTATAGTTATGAATAGAGAAAGAAAGACAAACAAGAAAAATACAAGTGTCGAAGCAGAGTCTCTTGTTGTTAGAGGCCGTTCGAAGAGTCAGAATAAAGGAAAGAGAGGGAGATCGAAGTCAAAGTCCAGATTGAGCAAAGATGAATGTGCATTTTGTCGAGAAAAAGGGCATTAGAAGAAAGAATGTCCCAGGTTAAAGAATAAAGGCAAACCTGAAAGGGGAAAGGCTATCTCAGAATCAAATGTGATCGAGTATGATGATACAGATTCAGATTTTGCATTCGCTGCTACGCCATCAACCAGTTGTTTCAGTTCATGGCTGTTAAATTCAGCTTGTAGCCACCATATGACCCCCAATAGAGAATGGTTCTTTGATTTTAAAGAACTAAAACGTGGAATTATCTACACAACAAATAATTCTCCTCTTGACACACTTGAGATTGGTTCAATTCGCTTGAGGAATCAGGATGAATCAATCAGAACCTTAACAGGTGTCCATTATGTACTAGATTTAATGAGAAATATCATCTCTGTGGGAACCTAAGAGTCAAAAGGTTTAGAAGTGAGGGCAACAGATGGGATTATGAGGATTATCTCTGGTGCACTGGTGATAATAAAGGGAATCCAGAAAAGAAATAATTTGTATTACTTTCTGGGTAGTACAATTGTTGGGACAGCAGCAGTGGCAGCTTCTACTGATGAACAAGAGTCAGAAGCAACCAGGTTATGGCATATGCGCTTGGGGCATGTTGGTGAAAAATCCTTGAAATTGCTGATAGATCAAGGATTATTGAAGAGTGTTCGGACTTGCAAATTTACTTTTTGTGAGCATTGCATCAAAGGGAAGAAGACGATGGTGAAATTTGGAACAACAATCCATGATACTAAAGGTATTTTGGATTATGTTCATTCAGATGTATGGGGGCCTTCCAAGATAACTTCATTGGGAGGAACACACTTTTATGTCACATTAGTTGATGATTTTTCCCGGAGAGTTTGGGTGTATACAATGAAGACAAAAGATGAGGTGCTATGATTTTTCCTTAAATGGAAAAAGATGGTGGAGACTCAAACATGGAGAAAAATCAAATGTCTCTATACAGACAATGGTGGAGAGTACAAAAATGATCTATTTTTGAAAGTCTATGAAGAAGAAGGTATTGTCAGGCATTTCACTGTCAGATCTACACCACAACAGAATGGGGTGGCAGAGCGTATGAACCGAACATTAGTGAAGAAGGTTCGGTGTATGTTGTCTAATGTTGGGTTAGGCAAAGAATTTTGGGCTGAGGCTTTGGTCTATGCTTGTCATCTTATCAACCGCTTACCATCAACTGCTATTGGTGGTAAAACACCATTAGAGAAATGGTTTGGAGAACCTGCTACAGATTATGATTCCTTACATGTGTTTGGTTCCACTGCATACTACCATGTTAAGGAGTCAAAGCTGGATCCAAGAGCCAAGAAGGCGATCTTTATGGGGATCACCTCTAGTGTGAAAGACTATCGTCTTTGGTGTCCAAAAACAAAGAAAATAATCTTCAGCAGGGATGTTACCTTTGATGAATCTACCATGTTGAGAAAGGTGACTTTAGAAAAATTGGAGTAGATAGATGGAACTCCCAAATAGGTGGAGTTTGAAGGAAGCAGAATTGACCCAGCCAATAAAAAAACTGATGTTGACTCTCCTATGGTAGAAGAAGAGTCAGATGAAGAAGAGGTTCAGACCCAAGAACCTCTACAGCAACAGGAATCAATTGCACTCAGAAAGGGAAAGAGGATCATTAGACAACCTGCTCGTTATACTGATATGGTCTCTTTTGCATTACCAATTGCAATTGATGACGTTCTTGCCACTTTTAATGAAGCAGTCCAAAGTTCAGAACATAAAAAGTGGAGGATCGCCATGAATGAAGAAATGCAATTCCTTCAAAAGAATCAGACGTGGAAACTAGCTAGTCTTCCGAAGGGAAAGAAGGCAACTGGGTCTATGTGGGTATATGCAAAGAAAGATGGATTTCCTTACAAGAATAACATTCGCTACAAAGCAAGATTGGTGGCTAAAGGCTACGCTCAAATGGAGGGAGTTGATTATAATGAAGTATTTTC